TCATCAAAAGCCTTCTATTTTCTCTTTCACACATCAAAAATAGTAAGCGGAATAATCTCCACTTGTTTTCTGCGACTATTAATGGCTTCCAAGCCCATAACTCTTCCCTCACTGAACCTGCCCTTCCAAGTTCACACTTTTTATTTTTTAAAAAAAAGAATTATAATTCCATATAATAACATATGATAAGTTAGAACCTTCAAAAGATCAAAACATTAATTGTTTTAACATCATTCCCAGATCTAAACAACTGCAATAACTTTGCATAACCATTTCAATCTCCATTTGAAATAATTAGAGACAGCAAAAAAAATTGTAGTTTGAGAAGCAAACAGTAGGAGAAGAAAAATGCTGAATAATCCATTCCAAAGTGGATGTGCAAACGCACAATGAAAAGGATCATTTAAGTTCTACAAGGCAACACTGTCTTGTCCTCCTTTCTTCAACCTGTAAACCATGATGCCCCAATTTGTTAAGGTAATTATGCCGCCCCAACGAAAACCAAGAATCATATCAATAAATTTCATGTTATTGAAATCAATTTTCAAAGACAGATATGGCATTCATGACACATAGGCATGAACATGTGTGCACCCACAAATGCACATATGAAAATTCACAGGCATATGTACTTGGTAGCACCCAGGACTTTCCTATCTTAACCAGCCACAAGAAACGGAAAACAACCATAAGATGTGTATTAGAAAAGTTCAACAAAAGAGGGACCTGGAATGTCCTCTTGCATTCATCAAGCAGCAACTTGAGCTGATTAACCAACTGATGCACTACTTCTCGTCGGTTTAAAACCAAACACACTGTCAGAAATCTAGCAAGAAATCTCAATTGTTTGTTTGCAAGATTGAGATCCTGGAATAATCCCTCTTTGAAATACTCCCGCGTCAATATTGCTTCATAAAAGATATATGCCTCAGATAAATAACTTGCTTCACTTGTCCGCAAATATTGCCCATAATAAAGCTGAGCAATACGAGATGCAATTTCACCTATCTCCCACCTCTTGAGGCCTGCATCCACCAATTTTGGCCGATTTTCTTGTTGAAACTTCCACAACTGCGTATACACCTTGAACACCTTGTAGAAGTATGAATCATACCTAAATGGGAACAGAATCTAGTAACTCCCCAATTTCTCAAAAGCATTTTCATACATCATAATTCATTTAGAAATACTGAAAATGTAATTTTCTTAAAGGCTATCGAAAAGCAATGCAAGTGTGCAATTGATAATAGTTATGTGTTCCTTCTTTATTCTTACTCTGGTTGCGAAAAAAGATCCAAAAAAGATAGACATAAATTAAATTTTAAGTTGTTAATTTCTCTCAATCAGGTTAC